CGTCCCTCCCTCCCCTTCCATCCTTACCTCATCCCCCTCCCCCTCTACCGCCTCCTATGCCGCCTCCTCTGCGTCCTCCCCCCCTCCCTCGCAAATAAGTTCAAATTCCGGTTGACGCTTAAGAACACACCAGACCCGCACGGGCACCAAGAAAACCCTGTTCCATCCTCCTCCTACTTCTCCTCGTCCTCCTCCTCCTCCTCCTCCTCCTCCTACTCCTCCTCCTCCTCCTCCTTCCTCCTCCTCCGCCTCTTCCTCCTCCTCCTCCCTCCTCCTCCTTCCTCATCCTCATCCTCCTCATCCTCCTCATCCTCCTCCTCTTCCTCCTTTTCCCCTCTCCTCCTCCTCCTCCTCCTCCTCCGCCTCCTCATCCTCCTCATCCTCCTCATCCTCCTCCTCCTCTTCCTCCTTTCCTCCTCCCTCATCCTCCACCTCATGGTCCTCTTCCTCCTCTCCTCCTCCGCCTCCTCCTCCCCCTCCCTCCTCCTCCTCCTCCTCCTCTCCTTCTCCTCCTGTTTATCCCTCCTCCCTGTTCCTCTTCCTTTTCCTCCTCCGCCTCTTCCTCCTCCTCCTCCTCCTCCGTTTCCTCCTCCTCCTCCTCCTCTCTCTCCTCCTCTTCCTCCTCCTCCTCCTCGTCCTCCTCCTCCTCCTCCTCCTCCTTCTCCTCCTCACCCTCCTGGTCTTACTCATCCGCCCCACGTTGGGCATGTTCCGGGGGGACAGTGTCTATCTCGTCGCGCCGCCAACTATCCAAATCGAACCCACGTCGAATATGGTCCGAGTCCACGTCAAACCCGAGTGGAATGCACGACGAATCCGCGTCGAATCCAAGTCGGATCCATGGGAAAGACTGCCAACCACTGGACGGACAAGGTTCCCAGAGAGTCCCATGTAATTCCCGAGCGGCGAGCGTATCCATGTCCACGCCCTCACGGTCTGGATTCCAGGGCGCGGCCCCGTGGACACGCGGTCGCATTTGGAGAATGAATGCGGGGGTCGGGCGCAGGGTCCCAGCAATGGTGGCCCTATGGACCATGCATGGGCGATGCATCCTCGACTACTGTGCTCGGCGGGGGAACCCATTGAAGCTCCCCTTCTGCACCCCTGCGCGAGACTTGAAGCTAAACGACGCCAGGAGGCGGGGGGGGTGAGGAGAGGCGACGAAGGCCACGTGCGCTGAGGGCGCAAGAAGCAGGTGGAATAAACGAAGGCGGCGAAGCGAATGTCAAAATCGGCCCAACCAGTCTGACATGCGGAACACTGCGCCTCACTTCTGGGGATCTTGAGGACCAGGGCAATGTGAATGTACACTGCGGGGGGAAGCCAACACGTGAGTTCACAGGTTGGGGACATGTGGATTCACACCTTGGAAAAGAGAATAGACCTATATAGTGTGTGAATTCACATAGTGGAGTTTAGCGTCAGAACTGTTATGGAGGGGCCAGAACGTGAATTCACATGTTGGGAAAAGGGGAACTGTGAACTCATTCACATGTTGGGGAGAAGAAAAATGTGAATTCACATGTTGGGAGCATCGCGGGACCCGTTCCAAATCGGTCCTAGGAGTCGACAAGTCATCGTTTGGGAATATACGCGATCATCAATCGCACAATCAAGACACGCGTGCACTCCACTTCGCCACCCCACGCGCGACGTGCAAGAACGCCCGCACGCATGAACGATAATGGACGGACGGCGCAGTTGCCCGCGCGGGCAACGCGCGGGCACGATGTCAGTCATACCCGATCATATACGTGAACGATATATTAAGCATACATGGGCCATTTAGCCCCCACTGCAGAAACCCCTGTTGCAGATCCCTTCTTTCACCATTCTCAACACCCTGAAAATGTTGCCATCTCTTGGGGGCGCATCTGTTGCTTCCGCCGGCGGAGCCGCCCTCGTTCTACTTCCGCCGCGCTTCCGCCGCCCTTCCGCCGCCTTGCGCCGCGGAGGACATTGCAACTCCTTCGATCCTCGAAGGCAAGGCCCTTTTTGGAACAATCCATGTGGACCGCTGAGTTCCCCGCCCACGAGCAATCTCCTTCACCCCCCCCCCCCACCCCGCGTCCGTTTGCACTGCTCCAGGGGAGCGTCTGGAGAGCCAGAGATGCGTCAAGGAAACGTCAGCCGGCACGATTGGGCGACACGTGCGTGTGAAAAGGTGCCACCTGCAGCCACGACGGCTCGGGAGGACCTGTCAGGAGAGGCGCCTGCTCGCTCGGACTCACGAGTTGCACGGGCCTCCTCGTCATCCCCCGCACCCCTCCCTCCCCAGGCTTCCAACGTCGCCCACCTCTCACGGCACGGAGGAGGAGGAGGAGGAGGAGGAGGAGGGGGAGGGGCCCCTCCGGAGCCCTCGCGACCCCCACTCCCCCGCCGGCGCCGCCCTCGCGCAGCAGGCGCCTCCTGATGGGCCCCCCGCGCGCGCGCGCACCTGGCGCGCCCAGGCTGCCTAGTCTGAAGACGGGCCTGTCCCCCTACATGGGGGATTTTGGACGAAAAACAGAAATAGCCAAAAAATACCCTGAAACACTCCGAAATGGTTTCAAAAAATCGTCCCCTATTTGGGAATATTCCTCATGTAGAGGGGCAGACCCGACTGAAGCCTAATCGTCTGCTCCTGCACCCGTCTGGCGCGCTGCTCCAGGTGCTCTTGCCCGCGCGCGTTCTGCGTATGGCCTCGTTCGCTCGCCCCATTCCTGGTGTTGGGTCGGCTGCGTCCTCGTACAGGCGGATTTGGGAAGAAACATTGAAAATAGCCCCCTACAAAAATTATCCCAGTGCGACCCTACCTAGGAGTTGGAGCCCCTAGAAAAGCAGCATTAGTAGTAACAGTAAAGCTAAGTTAAAGCTAGGCTGAAGCTAAGCTAAAGCTAAAGCTAAAGCTAAGCTAAAGCTAAAGCTAAGCTAAAGCTAAAGATAAAGCTAAGTTAAAGCGAAGCTAAAGCTAAGCTAAAGCTAAGTTAAAGCTAAGCTAAAGCTAAGCTAAAGTTAAAGCTAAAGCTAAAGCTAAAGCTAAAGCTAAAGCTAAAGCTAAAGCTCCCAGGGGACTGGGGGAACCGCAAGGCGGATCCTGGGGAACCGCCCGGGGCGCTTTCCACTGCCCGGCCCCTTTAAGATAGAGAGTAAGAACCCTTCTAGGCAGAGCCTAGGTAGGGAAATATTCAAAAATAATCGAACAATCGTCCCCGGGCTATTTTTGGACATCTTCTGATATTCCTCCTGTAGAAAGACAGGCCCGCCTCACTCCTGGTGGCCCCCCGACCGGCCCCAGGAGGCCGAGCATACGCGGACCACCGCGGCCCTCCCGCGCGGCCCACAAAGCCGCCCCAGAGCAGACAGACAGGAGGAGGAGGAGGAGGAGGAGGAGGAGGAGGAGGAGGAGGGGGGGGGGAGGGGGAGGGGGAGGAGGAGGGGAGGAGGGGAGGAGGGAGGAGGAAGGAGGAGGAGGAGAGGAGGAGAGGAGGAGGAGGAGGAGGAAGGAGGAGGAGGGGGGGGGGGAGGAGGAGGCGGAGAGTGGAAAGTGGAGGAGGAGGAGGAGGAGGAGGACCCCGCCCAGAGTCCACAGGCGGAGTCCCGACAGGCCCTCCTCGCCCTCCTCATGGTCCTCGTCTTCGCTCGCGTCGTCCTCCCCTTGCACTTCGGACGGCCAACCGGCCGGGGCACCTGGGCCAGCGCCTTGCATGCCTTGCGCGCGGGCGAAAAAAAAAACATCAGGGAGGGCGGCCGTCGCCTCGCCTGGCCCTCCCCCGATCCTGGGCCGACGGGCAACGTTAGGGGGGACCAGCTCAGAGGGGGCCTATCGCCGATCTGTCGGCGATAAATCATACATCGCCGACAGATCGGCGATAGGCCCCCGATGGCAAGCCGCGCGCTCCTGGGCGGGGCGGGTTCCTGGGCCCCTTCTCGGCGATCCATCGGCGATTGGGGGCCGATGCCCCCCCCTCCCCTCCGAGCTTGTTTAGGGAGAACGAACTCTGTACACCGACGCTTTTCCCGACCCTGCGCTGACACAGGAACGCGGACTCTGGTGTATACGGGATCCTGGTGTAGACATCTCGCTGTTTCCCTTCTGGAAAACGGGAGACGAGTTATACACCCCACCGCCCCGACGTCGTCCCTGACCCTTAAAAGAAGTCGTGGGATTGAGAAACAACCGGCCACTGGTAATGTAGATGTTCCAGCTTGCGATGATTCCCTTGGAGGCCTGGAAATTGGCACCAACACCAGCACAGGGGTTTTCCTCCACAGGGAGATGATGATCTTAGATTTCGGCGTTGGTGGTAATATTTCGGTCACCTTGGAAGCCAGAATATCACCACCATCACCGAGATCGGGGTAGTTTTCCCTCGGTGGAGGCGCACCGCCGATCTCTAGGACTGCGATTCCCCCCCCTGTCGCCCGCCACCTGGACCTGGCCTCCGGGCCACAGCCCAGCTCCCCATGCGGCCTTTCCCGGGAGGACCGGGGGCACCAAGGCCGCCTCCTTTCCTGGGCGATGGCGCGGCTGCCGGAGCGCCCTCGGAAGCGGGAAGGCGTGCGCAGGGCTGCGAAGGCACCCCACGAAGCGAAAGGACCCCTCCTGCGGCAGCTCGCGGGAGCCTCCCGTACCATCTTGTCGGCTCCAGCAAGCCGACGCTGGTCGACGCGAATCGCTTCTTTACAAGGTTGCCGCAAGCACTGCATACGTATCTGTAGATATAGAAATGTATGCGTGAGTGTGTTGTCTTGCTTATCTATATTTGTTGTTTTTGTTACATACATATAAATATATGTATATATATACGGATAGAGGAAAGAAAAAACAAAACAACAACAGCAAAAAAAACAAAAAAAAAAAAAAAAAAAAAAAAAAAAAAAAACTTCGCACGTCCCACGTCCCTGAGCCTGTCCCCCGCCCCCTGGCGCTGCCCGTGGACAGCCTCCGCTCCTGGGCGCGGACGGGCCCGCCCCCCGGCGGCGGCGCCCCCCCCTCTCTGGCCGCCGGGCGGGGGCGCTCACGCACACCACCACCAGGCACAGCAGCAGCAGGATGGCGAGCATGAAGCCGTACACCTCGAGCTTTCACGGGCGGAGAGCGGTGCACGAGATAGGCTCTCTCTCTCACTTGCCGTCCGGGGCGCCTGTCCCTCCGACACAGCTGGAAAGTGTGTATACTCTTACGGTGGCAACGCTGGGGCAAGTTTACCTACCCTTACGGGGGCAACGCCAGGGCGCTCGCGCACACCACCACCAGGCACAGGAGCAGCAGGATGGCGAGCATGAAGCCGTACACCTCGAGTTTTAACAGTAGGGGGCCACGTGCGAACCCTACCCCCACCCCCCACGCCTTCTGAGAAGGCGGGTGGGGTTCACCTCGCTCAGGGAGCTCCCGAGCTAAGTGAACCCCACCCTCCCCCTCAGAAATCGCGGGGGGTGGGGGGGTAGGGTTCGCACGTGGCCCCCCTGCACGGGCGAAGGACGGTACAAGACGGGCCTAGTCGCCGTCGGGGGCGCCTGTCCCTGGGCGGCTGGGGAGAGTTTCTACCCCCACGGTGGCAACCCAGGGGCACCAAACTTTCCAGCCGCCCACTGGCCATCGCTCGGACGTCCATTTCCTGTGTTTTTGTTCGGTTCCGTGCGTGGTTGTTTCGCCACATGATCAAGGGTGCTCCTCGATGGTCCTCGCCGAGGGAAAAATGCACACGTCCGAGCGATGCCAAGCCTCGAGGGCAGGCGCCCCCGACGGCGGCCAGAGGTCATGGCGTGCCGCTCCTCGCCCGCGGACCGAGGACCACGGGCGCTCCGGGCAGGTGCCGCCCCGGCGGGGAGGCGCAGGGCACGGCTCCCATGAGGAGGAGGAGGACCCGCGGCATCGGCACAAACGTCTGGCGCTCCGCGCGGACTTCCCGGATCCGCGCTGGGCCCTCCTCCCAAGTCGGGCCTGTCCCTCTACAGGGGGGATAGTCCAGAAGAGTCCAAAAACACTCTGGGGACTGTTCTGTGGGTATTGTTTTTTTGCCATTTTGGAATATGTTTGGAATATCTTTTCTTTTTCGTCCAGACAGGCCCGACTTACCCCTCCTCCCCGGCGCGCGGAGCGCGCCAGGGGCGGCGCCGGAGGCGCCGCGCCGGGAAAGGGGAGGGCGGCCCAGTGCGGATCCGAGAGATCCGCGCGGAGCGCTGAAAGCTTACCGTCGGGGCGTTGACCTAAGGAACCCTAAATAAGGAACGAGGCCCCTTTTTTTCCATAAGTTAACCTTCGATTTCACATCGAAAACCTAAGGAAAGCCTGAGGCAAGCTGCGAAACACTTAAGGAACGCGGAGCCCCTCCCCAACCAAAAGGGTTCCTTCTTCAGGGCCCCTACGGTATGTCCATGCCGCTGCTTCTTGTTCGAGCCTCCTGGGGCAGGATCCTCCAGCATCGACTCGACGCAGCAGAGGCCAGTCCACAAGAGACCTTCCACAGGAAGCCCAACCCTGAGACCCGAGGGCATCCGTTGATTCTTGGTGCGTGGAGGTCACGCTCTCCATCGCAAGACCATCGAGGCCCAAGAGACCAAGGGCACCCGGGAGGCAAGCAGGGTGTTTCTTGGCACGGGTCTCCACCGTAGGGAGGAGGGGGGACCACTCCTGGGGCAGGATCATCCGGCATCGAGTCGTTAGACCGCATCAAATCGTAGCGCGCAGCGAGGTCATCATCATCATCATCATCATCATCATCATCATCATCATCAGCATCATCAGCATCATGAGCATCAGTATCATCATCATCATCAGCATCATGAGCATCACCAACAACAACATCATCATCATCATCATCATCATCATCATCATCAGCATTATCATCATCAGCATCCTTCTCATCATCATAATCATCATCATCATCACCATCATCATCAGCAGCAGCATCAGCAGCAGCATCAGCATCAGCATCACCATCAGCATCACCATCAGCAGCATGATGATGATGATGATCAGCATCATCACCATCACCATCACCATCATCATCAGCATCATCATCATCAGCAGCAACAGCAGCAGCACCAGCACCAGCACAAGCCGCAACATCATCATAATCATAATCAGCATCATCATCATCATCATCAGCATCATCATCAGCATCGTCGTCATTATCATGATCAGTATCGTCTTCATCATCAGCAGCATCATCATCATCATCAGCATCAGCATCATCATCAGCATCATCATCACCATCACCATCGTTATTATCAACATTATCATCATCATCATCATCATCATCATCATCATCATCGTCATCATCAGAATCGTAATCGTCGTCGACGTCGTCATCATCGTCGTCATCATTACCACCACCACCACAATCTTCATCATAATTAGCATCATCATCATCAGCATCACCACCATCATGGTCAGCATCACCATCGTGATAATCATCACCAGCATCATCATCAGCATCATCAGCATAATCATCGTAATCGAGATCGGCATCGGCACCGTCGTCATCATCGTCATCATCGTCATCATGATCATCCTCAGCAGCGGCAACAGCAGCAACAGGATTATCACCGCAAGCACCGGCATCGGCATCATCATCACACCATCAGCATCACCACTATCATCATAATCATCATCATCACCATCATCGTCATAAGCATCATCATCGTCGTCGGCGCCGTCCTCATAATCATCATCATCATCATCAGCATCAGCATCATCACCATCATCATCATCAGCATCATCATCGTCATCAGCATCAGCATCATCATCGTCGTCGTCGACGTTATCGTCATCAGCATCATCGCTGTGATCATTAGCATCATCATCAGATTCATCAGCATCATCATCACCATCATCATCATCAGAATCCTCATCATCATCAGCATAAGCAGTATCGCCAAAAGCATCAAGATCGTCATCATCATCAAACTCATCAAAATAATCCTCCTCATCCTCATCATCATCAGCACCAGCATCCCCATCATCATCATCGACAGCATCCTCATCATCAGCATCATCAGCATCATCATCGCCAGCATCATCATCATCAGCAGCATCATCACAATCCTGACAATCAGCAGCATCTCACCAGCATGACTACCAACATCATCAGAGCCATCATCACCAGCATCAGCATCGTCATCAATATCATCATCATCATCATCATCATCATCAACAACAACAACAGCATCGTCAATATCATAGTCATCATCATCATAATCAGAATCATCATCAGAAGCAGCATAATCAGAATACTCATCCTCATCATCTGCATCATCATGGTCATCATCACCAGCATCATCGTCATCCCCATACTCTGAAGCGTTATCATCAGTTTCATGATCTGCATTGTCATCGTCATCATCCCTGCCTCCCTCCCTCCCTCCCTTCCTCCCGTTCATCTCCTTCTTCATCGCTCCCCACCCTCCCCCTCATTATCGCTGCTCCCCTCCCGTCCCTCCCTTCCCCTCCTCCTCCTCCTCCTCCTCCTCCTCCTCCTCCTCCTCCTCCTCCTCCCACTCATTATCGCTGCTCCCCGGACATCTCCCAGGGCGCGCTCCAGGCACCATCTCGAGGCGAGTCCAGCCCGGCCGTGGCGACGAGGGCTGCCCAGGACGCGCAGCGGCCTCGGCACCTTCCACCTCTGATCCCTCCCCTGATGCCCTCTCCCCTCTCTCTGATCCTCCCCCTTACGTCGTGCCTGTCCCCCTACAGGGGGATCTTGGACGGAAAAAATTAAAATACCCCAGAATGCTCCAAAAATGCTCCAAAATAATATTAAAAAATAGTCCCCGTACTATTTTTGCTATTCTTGAACATTCCCCCTGTAGAGGGACAGGCCCGACTTAACCCTCCCCCCTCCCTCTCGCTGCCCTCCTCCCCCCAGACGCCCCGGAGCGCCTCGACCCTCATCCGCATCCTGCCCGACCTGCTCCTTCCCTCCCCGCGGGGTCGGACGGAAAATAGGGGGGGGGGGGGCGGGCCTTCCCGGAAGGCTCAGAAGGACTTCGGCCTTCTGAGAAGCCTCCGAAGGACTTCGGCCGAAGCTCCGCCGCCTGCTGAGAAGGCCCGCTGCCAGCCCCCTCAGGGGGGGCCCCTGGGGGCGTCGGCGCACGAATTGGCCCACTCGGCTGGCTCTCCCGGCGCCGGCGCCGGCCACGCGCCGAGGAGCGCCCCCCCACTCCGTCCCTCCCTTCCCCTCCTCCTCCTCCTCCTCCTCCTCCTCCTCCTCCTCCTCCTCCTCCTCCTCCTCCTCGCTCGCCATTCCCCTCCCGCGCGTCCCTCTCCCGCGATCGCGCCCTCTCCTCCCCGCGCCCCCTCTTCCTCCCCGCACGGGGGGGGGCAGGGGCGCATAGTAGATCTTGTTGTGGCTCCACACGGCCTGGGCAAATGGCCGCGGCAGCTCGGCGGGCGCGCGCTGGCCCTCCTTTCTCCAGCGAAACGCCATGATCGAAGGTGGAGAAGAAGATGCGCATCCTCTTGATCACCCTTCCACAACAACCACCAGCGTCGTCATCATCGCTGCCATCATCGGCAGCATCGTCGTTGCCGTCCTCGAAATAGGTATCATCGTCGTCATCATCGTCATCATCATCATCATCAGCATCATCAGCATCATCATCATCATCATCAGCATCATCATCATCATCATCATCATCAGCATCAGCATCAGCATCAGCATCATCAGCATCATCATCATCATCAGCAGCATCAGCATCAGCATCAGCATCATCATCATCATCAGCATCAGCATCAGCATCAGCATCATAATCATCATCATCATCAGCAGCAGCAGCAACATCATCATCATCAGCATCATCAGCATCATACTCAGCATCATCATCATAATCATCATCAGCAGCAGCAGCGTCATCGGCGTCATCATCAACAGCATCAGCATCACCATCAGCATCAGCATCAGCATAATCATGATGAATATCATCACCATCAGCATCAACATCATCAGCATCAGCATCATCATATGCATCATCAGCAGCATCAGCATCTTCATCATCAGCATAATCATCGTCAGCAGCATTATCATCATCCTTACCATCGTCATCATCATCATCATCATCAGCATCATCATCAGCATCATCATCATAATCATCATGATCGTCGCAGTCGTCATCGTCATCATCTTCATCATAATCGTCAACATCATCATCAGCAGCAGCAGCAGTATCATCATCATCACCGTCACCATCATCATCACAATCATCAACAACAACAACATCATCATCATTAACAACATCCACCTCCTCCGCCTCATCCTCATCATCCTCATCGTCCTCATCCTCATCCTCATCCACCTCATTCATCGTCGTCATCATCAGAATCAGCATCATCATTAGCAGCAGCAGCATCATTACCATCAGCATCACCATCACAATCATCATCAGCATCATCATCAGTATCATCATCATCACCACCACCATCATCATCATCATCATCATCATCAGTATCATCATGATCATCATCATCAGCAGAAGTAGCATCCTCTTCATCCTCGTCCGCATTATGATACTCATCAGCATTCTCACCCTCACCATCATCAACGACAGCATCAACAAACAGTTTAAGACTGGTATCCGCTCGCGTGTCACTCAACATGTATATACCAAACCCTCGATACTCGCCGTCTTTGTCTTCGATCGTACCCCCCTTGGGGGCACATCCTCCTCACCTGCCATGTGTGGTTGGCGCAGCCCCTACAGTAGGGAAGACGAGGGATGGGGGAAGAGACAACGGGGAGGGAGAAGGAAGGAGCACGAGAGAGATTTGCTGGAGAGGGGTACAGTATAAGCTCGACCACAAGACACTTTCCACACGAAACTCAACCCTGAGACCTCAGGACGTCCATTGATTTTCGGCGTGGGAACGTCTCACTTTCCATCGCAAAACCATCCACACCCAAGAAAACCAGGGCGCCCTGGAGACAAGCAGGGTGTTTCGTGGCACAGGTTCCCACTGGAAGGAGCAGGAGAACAAACTGCAGAACCAAACGGGCGGCTCGGACGGGCGGACCCTGGACCCTATTGGGCGGGTCGGGCGGGTGGGCCCAGACGGCCGGGTCGAGCGGGCGGTTTGCTGGAAGCGTCAGCCCTGCATGAATCGCGAGGAGTCTCGAGTGACTGCGCGATTCCCAGTAAATAGGTAGGAAGTTCAGGGCGAGAGCATGATTCCCTGAGTGTTGGAGTTGGGGGCGCGGCGTTTCGATAAACTGCGAGGAGGTCCCACGCGAGAGCCAGATTCCTGCATAAATTGTGAGGGCGTTCGGCGCGAAAGTTTGACGACAGCCGTTGATGTAGTTCGGGGGCCAGGGGAGCAGTCTAAGGCTCAAGACTTTCCCTTTCTAAAACAGGGAGCAGGCCCGTGAGGAGCACTTCAATTGGAAAACACTCGGTGAACTGGATGGGTGGGTCAACAATAATTTAATGACACATGAGAAAAACCCAATCAGGGCTATAGGGCTAGGGGGCTATAGGGCTATAGGGCTAAGGAGCTATAGGGCTACAGAGCTATAGGGCTATAGAGTTGTAGGGCTATAGGGCTATTGAGCTATTGGGCTATAGGGCTGTAGGGCACCCCCGGGCACACCCAGGCACCGCCGGGCACGCCCAAGCTCCCCCGGGCACCCAGGCACCCGGGCACCCGGGCACCCCCGGGCACGCCCGGGCACCCGGGCACCCGGGCACCCGGGCACCCCAGGGCAACCGGGCACCCGGGCGTGCGGCGAAAATCGGCGGCAAACCTAACCTAACCATATGAATCCGCTAGGACCCCTATTGAGGCAAGCTCTGATTGGGGAACTTAACATCATCGACGTCATTGCCATAGCCATCGCCAGCGTCACCAACATCACGGCCACAACAACCACCACCACCACCATCACCATCACCAGCATCAGCATCATCATGATTATTACCACCATCAGCATCATCACCAACAGCATCATCAGCATCATCATCATTATCATAATCAGCATCAGCATCATCATCATCATCATATTCATAACCATCATCAGCAGAATGATCAGCATCAACAGCGTCATGATGATCATCGTCACCATCAGCATCATTATGATCAGCATCGTCATCATCATCAACATCAATATCATCGTCGTCATCATCATCAGCATCATCGTCATCATCATAAGCATCACCGTTATTATCGTCACCATCATCAGCAGCAGCATCATCGTCATCGTCATCGTCAGCATCATCATAATCGTCATCCATTTTCGGCATCATCACCATCATCAACCACCACTATAATGCATCCTAATCATCACAAGCACATCAATCATCATCGTCGTCGTCATCTGCCACATCATCATTATCATCGCCATCATGATCAATCAGCGTCGTCAGCGTCGCCATCGACATAAAGTTGATCCTCGTTCTTCTCCCCCTCCATCCTCCAGTCGAGACGACACGCTCGGAGTCGCATCGCTCCCATCGCGATACACACTCCTCGTACGAGGGATCCTCATAATCACATCGTCAGCACGCGCACCGCCGTCGTCAAACCTCAGCAACAGCACCAGCAACAGCGGCAACAGCAGCAGCATCAAGTTCAACATCACCAATATCAACATCCTCTCGGGGATCTTCTGACCCGGGTCAATCCAGACCCGGGTCAGTCAGGCCTTGCAGAATCCTGCAAGATCCTGCGCCCAAACCCGGGTAAACACGAAAAATCCTGCACGATCCTGCAAGATCCTGCACCCAAACCCGGGGCAGTGCGGCCCGTGGCCCTGCAGGATCCTGCAAGATCCGGCGCTCTGGCTGACCCCCGTTTGCATTGACCCCCGTCTCAAGGCTCCCGATCCTCAGCAGCATTGGAAAAACCAAAAGGTACCGATACCGCTACTCCCCAGACCTCTCCTGGGGTGCGTTCTCACCAGAACTTCGAGGCGAATCCAGCGGTGGCGACGAGAGCATCCCAAGGAGACCCAAAAAAGGGAAAACGGGCGCAGGGTAGCGGTATGGGTACCTTTTCCTACTCTGAAGCACCATCCTTGCCGGCGGGCCTTTTCTGGCGCCCAAGCTCGGGCTAAAGCAGTCTCCAGCTCTGGTCCTCCCATGTGCAGACGATATGGGGCAACGGGGGTGGACCTGTAGAGGGGGCTGCCATTGTAAAGGGGCTAAGAGAGACACAACAAAATCGTCATACATTCCCGGATTCACATTCTTTGTCCAGATGTTCTGGATTTTCCTCCTCCCCTCAATGTTCCAGAGTCTCCCGAATGTCAATGGAAAACCAACATGTATGTTTCTTTGTGTGTGTGTTTCCCCTCCTGACATTGTTAGGTTCTTCTGCTGGGGCCTCCGATGAGGCACTCGGCGCCCGAGCGCGACCGAGCGTGGGCAGTGCGCGCCGCCCGACCTACCCGACGACGCCGCCGCCATTTAAAAAACTCGTGTGTTGAGGTGGTGCTACATGCCCGAAAGTAGTTGTGCCATCAACTGTTGTCGTGCTCCTGCTCCTCCGCCTCCTCCTCCTCTTTCCCTCTATTCCTCCTCTTCCTCCGCCTGCTCCCTCCCTCCCTCCCTCCCCCCCTCCCTCCCTCCCTCCCTCCC